GGTGATTTTCATCTCTAAGTAGAGTAAAAAAAAATTTTAGAAACTGGACGAGTCAAAAATCGATTATCTATAATCTATATAACACATTTTCAAATGAAGAAAAATTATTAAAAAGGTTTTTAAAATCTAGCAATAACTTTTATAATTTAGAACTATTTAATAAATTCTGCAAATTTATGAATCTTAATTTTTTTTTTGTACTATTTGACTACTTAAAATAAAAAGATTGGATTGGCGATATGCATTAAATGCATTTAAATATCTATATATACGTCGATTAAATGACATTAATGGGTAATAATATAATAATTGATGAGACAATTTATCTAAGTGTTATAGGCACTGCAGCTTACAATTAATAAATGGCAAATCTCATATATACACATTTACGTATAACAAACAAAAAAATTTTTTTAAATTTAATATTGTTTTAAAGTTTTAACTGGCAACCAAAAAAAAATTAGTAATTAAAAAATAAAATAATAAAATTTATTATCACCTAAATTATTTTGCTGAAATGATCCCATGCCATGTTTTAAGAAAAAATTTAGGAATTTCATTTTACTAATTTTTATTTAAGAATTGTAATAGCCTTTAAATGATTATTTAATACTCTTTCTGAAAGTAGCTTTATTTCCGCTAATGCTGGTGGTCAATAAATTTTTCATATTCTTGCAGGTTAGATAATTATTAAAATAACGGTCTAAACAGACCAGATGATTAACGATGCTAATAGATAAATACCTTCCGCAATATTATAAAATTCTACAAATTATTTTAATAATACTACACAATTTCTATGTCATACCTTTTCACTTTATTTGTTATTTAATGATATCCATTTATTTAAAAATCAATTTAAATGGCGTCATCCCATAATAGCATTGCTATTTATCCGTAATAAGGATACCCACCATATCCACCATATCCAGGATATCCTCCATATCCTCCATATCCACCATAACCTCCATACCCACCACCATATGGGAAACCGCCATACCCTCCATATCCTCCATAACCATATCCATATTGGGCATTTACCTTAGCGCTTTGGAACACCATGACTGCCAAGACCTATTTATTTATTTTATATTTTTAGTAAACTTAAATCCAATTTTTTATTGTATTCAATAGATAAATAATCTTATTATTTTATCATTAATTCACTTACAACAGCGAGGAGTAAAAATATTGATATGAAAGATTTCATTCCTATTTCTTGTGTGAATTTAGAAAATAATTGACTAGATTTTTTTTTTAAAAAATTTATAAAATTTCTAATGACAAAAAAAGTTAAATGCGATTTTTAAGAAAAAGAGAAACCTTTTTATAGAAATTTTTTTATTTTTAAAATTAATTTTATTTTCGAAAAATAAGAATAAAGCGAATAACGGGAATTTGAATATTACACATGATAAAATTCCACTATAACAACTAAAATAAAAATATCATAAAAATAACAAAATTTTTTTAAAAAAATGATCATTTAAAAGGTTAGTGACGATGGTAATTTTTATTAGGAAATATAAAATAATCATTAAAATAATTTTTCTCAAAATAATTTAAATCATGAATAAGTCCTATATAGATATATGCAATGGTACTAGACAGGTAGTTATTTAAAAAAAAATTTTTTTTTTAAAGGCTAAAATCTTTCTGTGAATGAGAGGAAACGTTTTTTTTCTTAAGAAACCAATAAAAGAAACTTAGGGCATTATCGCCATGATAACCAGCTGTGTCAGAGACAATGCAAAAAAAAAATTGTTTAGAATTGTGTAATTATTAATTTTCCCCATATTCACATTAAAAATTGAGAGTGTTAATGGTGAATGACCGGATTATATAGATGTAGTCCTAAGCGATTAGTAAATAATATCTTTATGCAATCAGAATTGCGCTATCTCATCTTATTTTCGTCATTTTTTCCTTTAGCAAAAAGAAGAATTGACAAATTAAAGTGTTTAGACTGTGTCCTGGTTTGACTTACTTTTTATTTAGCTTAGGATTGACAGCCTTTGATCTAGGACACCAGTAAAACTTTTTTATCGAATATGGATGATAAAAAAATGGAAATTTAAGTCCTAATATATTATGTGACAAGTAAGGGTTTGTCAAATCATTTATTGATATCGAAACTAAATTCCCATATTATACTTATTTCAAAGTTTGGTCAGTTATTAACTTTAGTTGATTATTTAATTTTTAAGTAATGAATTAAATTGATTTAAATAAAATAGTTTCCAAACTTTTTATCTAACAGTCATAAATTTTCTGGAGAAGGGACCTGGGAAAAAATTTAAAATATTGATTTTACAAGAGGAGGTTAAGATCTATTACAATATTGTTATATTTAATTCAATTATTGGTTTAGTAAAGATATCCAGGGCCGGATAGCCACCATATATATCATATCCCGGGTCACCATAGCAAAAGGTAAAGTTTTAACTTAAAACCAAAAGAAATTTTCAGAAAAGATAAAATTTATTAAAAAATTGGTGAAAATATTCCTAAAATTTATTGTCACCAAAATTATTTCACTGAAATGATCCCAAACCATGTTTTTACATAATATATTTTATTAATGATTCGCTGATTTCTATTTAAAATGTGTAATGACCTATAAATAAATTTTTCCTATACATCAATTTTTTGACATATAATTATTAAAATTCCAACTAATGATGCAGATAAAAAATAATACCTTCCGCATTATAATAGAATACTATCAATTTTAATAATATCACACAATTTCAATGGCCTACAACTTTTCGCTTTATTTGATATTTAAACGATATCAATATATCTTTAAAAAAATGTGAGAAAAAATTTTAAATTAAATAGCATAACATTGCTATTTATCCGTAATAAGGATATCCACCATATCCACCATATCCTCCATAACCACCATATCCTCCATAACCTCCATACAGACCACCATATGGGAAACCGCCATACCCTCCATATCCACCATATCCTCCATATCCACCATACCCATATTGAGCATCTACCTTAGCGCTTTGGAACACCATAACAGCCAAGACCTGTTTTAATTTATTATATAATATATTTCTAATTTTTCAAGAACTTTCGTTTGTATTTTATTTATAAATAAATGCACTTACAACCGCGAGGATTAAAAGTATTGATATGAAAGATTTCATTCTTATTTCGAGTGTGAGTTTGGAAAATTTTTTTTTTTAAAATAAGATATAAAATTCCTAATAACAATAAAAGTTAAATGCGATATTTAAGAAAAAGAGAAACCTTTTTATAGAAATATTTTTTTATTTTTAAAATTAATTTTATTTTCGTAAAATAGGAATAAAGCGAACAACGGGAATTTGAATATTACACGTGATAAAATTCCATGATAACAACTAAAATAAGAATATCATAAAAGTATGAAAATTTTTTTAAAAATAATCTTTTAAAAGGTTAGTGACCATGGTAATTTTTATTATGAAATATAAAAATTATTTTTCAAAAATGATTTTAATCATGAATAGTCCCATATAGTTATATGCAATGGGACTAGACAGGTAGTTATCTAAAATCTTTCTGTGAATGGGTAGTTTTTTTTTCTTAAGAACCTATATAAGAAACTTAGGGCATTATCGTCATAATAACCAGCTGTGACAGAGACAATGCAAAAAAATATTGTTTAAAATTGTACAATTATTAATTTTCCCTATATTTACATTAAAAAATGAGGGTGTTTATGTTGAATGACCGAATTATAAATAGGTGTAGTACTAAGCTAGATAATAATTTTCTTTATGCAATCAAAATTGCGCCATCACATCTTACCTTCGTCATTTGTCCTTTAATCAAGAGTGTTAGATTTCTGAGAATATACTATTTTCTACAGTATATAATTGAAACTATGTATACCCAATAAATGAATTAGGATTTTATATTCATTAATTAACTTATATCGCTAACACTATATAGTATAACTGTATTAAAAATAATGGCTTGCCTTAAAAAACCTAAAATATTTTTTAAATTTTATTTCTAATTTTTAACCTATGAATTTTTCTGCAACCCCCTTAGAAAATTTCCTGGGGACCCATGCATTACTATCTTGCAGTTTTACTGCCAGTGTTGAATGGCGAGATAATGAAGTACATTGCGACTGAGTTGATAAATTATTTCAGAGAAAATTACATGTTTATTTTTTCAAATTTATAAAAAAATTTAGATTTATGTTTGGTCATGTTTTTATTTTTGTATATTTAGAAAAGCTTATTTTATTTATTTTCATTAAAGCTTCGAAAGTTGTGAAAGTTAATTATTTAACGATTTTATAAATAATAATCTTAAATTATCTACACTTTAAAATGCTTATCTCGATAATTTAAATCATTCATCAATTTAAAATTTATGATGTTTAATAAACCTAGACATTATAAATTACACAACACCCCAATAATGAAAGTCATTTTATTAATCCAATGAGAAAGTCATAATATATGTAATCATATAAATATATAAAAAAAATCATTATTTATACATCGAGTATCGGTTTTTAAAAACCTCCAATCCGGAGCGGATAGTGACCGTTATCATAGTCAAGTTAATATTAAATAATGATATGTGAATGTGAGAATTAATTTGCTTTAAATAGTTTGTATAATATTAAATGACTCTTTTTTGTTCAAATATTCTTCCATTTTTATTTTCCAAGACTCGATTTTAATTACCAGATGGTACACTTATAAGGAGGATTCATGACCGATTTAGTGGAACAGCTATATGCCTCTGAAAACTGTTTAAGGTTGGATAGAACTCCGTTTACTCTGTTTTAATAATAAATTTTTAGTGTGAATCATAAAGTTTATTGAATTTATATGTCGAAATAAGAAAGAAAGAAAGTGAATCCAAATGGCTGCTATATGTTTGCTCTAGCAAGGGTAAAAGTGGATTTTGAATAATAAATTTAATATAATATGTTAATAAACAAACCTGTATTTATCAGGGCTGTGAGAATCAGATTTAATTGTTTCATATAGAGCTTCGGGCGTATCCTTAGAACAACAACTCTTATATATTATTTTTAAAAAATATATATATTTATTTTTTAATAACACATTCATATAACTAAACTTGAGCATAAGCAAGGAAAAATAGTCGATCTTCGATTGTATCGAATTTGAAAGCGTATTCATCCCTCCTTTTCCTGGCCTGATAACTCTTCAATGCCTATTTTATTTTGAATTGCACAATAAAAAATTTATATTTTATATTAAATTATAGGTTTTTAATAATTATTCTCAACTTTCTATCTTTCTTTCTTTCTTTCTATCTTTCTTCAATCTTTCTTCTTTCTTTCTATCTTTCTTTCTATCTTTCTTTCTTTCTTTCTTTCTTTCTTTCTTTCTTTCTTTCTTTCTTTCTTTCTTTCTTTCTTTCTTTCTTTCTTTCTTTCTTTCTTTCTTTCTTTCTTTCTTTCTTTCTTTCTTTCTTTCTTTCTTTCTTTCTTTCTTTCTTTCTTTCTTTCTTTCTTTCTTTCTTTCTTTCTTTCTTTCTATCTTTCTTTCTTTCTATCTTTCTTTCTTTCTATCTTTCTTTCTTTCTATCTTTCTTTCTTTCTATCTTTCTTTCTATCTTTCTTTCTTTCTTTCTTTCTTTCTATCTTTCTTTCTTTCTATCTTTCTTTCTATTCTATCTATCTTTCTATCTTTCTTTCTATCTTTCTTTCTATCTTTCTTTCTATCTCTCTATCTATCTTTATTTCTATCTTTCTTTCTTTCTATCTATCTTCCTTCCTTCCTTCCTCTCTTGCTTAACAATAATTCAATTTTTGATAATTATATTACTTTCAAAGATATAGCAACTCCTCCATTATCCGCCATATTTTCTGCTAATGTTTGTTTGCCGTCCAACTTGGATAAATATTGTAATCATAAAATGAGAGCAATATTTTTAAAAAAAATGATATAATCTTTTCAAAAGAAATTAAAGGAATAGCCAGTTATAAATAGTTACAAATATTTTTAATTTTCTAGATTATACTAGTTGACAAACTACCAAACATATTAGTCATATATGCTATCTAATAAAAAAATTTCCCTTCATAATAGATAATGATATACCTTATGGCCATTGATAGAATAATTGGAATATTGGTCTAGGAAACAAACTGTTTTATTTACGAAGGCTTCTATCGATTTATTTGTCCACCAAAAATGCCAATTACCATTTTTATCATATTTCCTGCCTATAAAAATGAAATAAGAGCATTTATATCTAGCATGTGTCAATAATAAAAGCCATCTTATCCATATTCCACAATTTCCATTCCAATCTTTCCTTAGGAAATCATTTAATAAAAAAAATATAGAATAAACACAAATATTTACCTTCATCATCAAAGCCGTGCCCTATTTCGTGGGTTATAACGCTACCTATAGCTCCAAATTGATAAGAGCTAAATGAACATAAATAAAAATTCACAATTATTAATACATTAGTAAATAACCCGATTATACATATATACATATAAAGTATAAGCAATATAGCAGGTAAATCGTGCAATCAGTTGGATACTAAAGTAGTAGAAAGGATTAAAAGAGTTAAAAAAGAAAGAAAGAAATACAGCTAAGTGAAATAAGGGCATCATCTATCCTCCATTCCATTACTATTACTATTACGATAGTGCATTCTCTTAGAGCTTACCTAAAGATTGTAAGGTAAAAATATTTCTCTTAAATAGAAATCATGTGTATAAACTGTAGAATAATTTAAAATTAGAAAGAAAAAAAAATATATATGTTAGCGGCAATATGTTTTTTCCGGCAATGTGTTATTTTTTTAACTTTAAAACAATATTTTAGCGCGTTTTTTTAAATTTAAAAATCGATTTTACCGGAAATGAATTCCACCATGTTTGGAATACCTATCTTATGAATTGTAGAGAATTTTACCTTTAAATTTTGAGTTAATTATAGTTTATATGAAAAATCTATGGAAGAAATATTATAAATTATATTAGGTTCAAAAGCTCATGATAAAATTATCTGAATTTCTTAGGGTAGGTATTCCAAACATGCTGGAATTTATTTCCGGTAAAATCAGATTTTTAAATTTAAAAAAACGCACTTAAAAATTGCTTTAAAGTTAAAAAAATAACACATTGCCGGAAAAAACACATTGCCGCTAACATATATATAAAAATGATGAATTAATAATTATTACATATTAGCCTGCAAACTAAAGTGGGTAATGATATATGCCTTACTACTGTTTTTATCAGAAAAGTGATCGGACCTGTTTTTATTTTGATATCATATATTAATGGAATCTTGAGGTCGATTTCAAATATGCAAAGTATTATACCACTGTGCCCACTATCTTCCAGATTAATTTTAAAAAAAATCAATTCTTTTTAGATTCTAACCCTAGGTCAAAGTTTATAAAACAATTTCTGTAACAAGTACGATGTCTGAGCAGCAGATACTACTTTTTTTAAAAAAATAATATGACGTGATTCTCGTTCCGGTCAATACCCGCTATTTTGCTGCCAACTGTTTACGCATGCGCTATGATATTTATAATAAAATAAATTAATGATTCATACTCTGGATAAGTTTTATCGTAGAACGGTTTTCGCAAAATTCCAGCAGGAAAAACTTGTGTGAAAGATTTATTTGTTTAAAAAAAATTATTTAATCAAAGAACGAACAAATCATATTGATAATAAAAGAAAAAGAAAATATATTTAATTTCTTTAATAAGATATGATGTATCCCATAACAAATTAACAAGAGTTTTAGCCTGACCCGATATCTTTAACTAAGTTACAATTATATATGATTTTGCTAAATATATAGAAAATTTTTGTAATCAAATTTAGTAAATATTTTTTCACAAAAATGTATTATAGAATATTGAATAATCCTGAACAAATTTGAATGCTTAAGCTTTAATAATTATTTAAGTTATTTAAGACAAGAGAGGTATAAAAATTGAACCTTAATTCACTTTATACATAATCAAAACTTTAAAACCTGTAGAAAAAATTCCAAATATGCTAAATATATATATACGTGCCTTGATCTATTTTAAATAAATATTAGAGAAAATGTTTTTAAATCTTTTCTTAAAATTACTTCCGGGTTTTTAACTTCAGGTTTGTTTTCATTTTTGGGTCTTAAAGAGCTATATTAAATTAACAACATAATATTTGAATGATATATTCTCGCTCCAACACTTTCCAGAGACATATTTTAAAAATACTATAATTTGATCAAGTGTTGCACATATGAAATTCTCATATCCCACCTCCTGACCGATTTTGAGATCCAAAATTTTTCTAAGTTATTATAAGAAACTAATTTATATACACAAAATTTTCAAAAATATCTGATTGAGGTCAGGCAGAAAATAAGCGTTATTTTTTGTAATTTTATAGCAGAATTTACTATGTAATTTTTTTAAAATAAATATTACTTATTTCATTTGTGGCAGAAGAGTAAAAAGCGTTAGAGGTGTGAGGTGACTCTATCCATCTGTTTATATCATATATATATAAATATTGTAATTTATTATATTAAAATATTTATAATAAATTTGTATTTCCTTTCTTTCTTTCTTTCTTTCTTTCTTTCTTTCTTTCTTTCTTTCTTTCTTTCCATGATCAATATATTTTTTTAAACAACTATATTTAAAGTCGACTACGATTGAAAAGAAAGATTAAAAGTTATTCAAATTGTTTAGAGTGAGAATTACATCATAAACAAAATTAAGTTAGAAAATGATTTTTAAATAGAATTATCGTTATTTTATTTGGTAGATCTCTACAAAATTTTATTTAAAATTTAGCTTTATTTGCTCTAAAAATTTCTTTTGGTAAGATCTGTATGACCCCGAAAAACCTGTCGAAAGGGTCCTAAGAAAATCTATACAATATGAAGGAAAACTTATTAATTAGTAAAAAAAAAGACGTTTAAGAAAAATACTTTTCTCTTCCTAAAATAAAATAGTTTTAATTTTTTTTATAATAAAACTGTTTCTTATCAACTGGCGCGAAAAGTTTTTTGATTTCTCGTAAGCCACTCATACTTCCTTGACTGATGTGATTTTTAAAATAAGTGTCATCCTGCATATATAGCTTTTAAACAGAAAAAAAAGAATGTAATATATCATTTTGTATCTTTTCAAATCACTCACTGTATATCATTTTGATATTAATTTAAGATAAGAAGGCACTGAGAGTATTTAAAGACTGCAACAGGTGTAACGACCCAAAGAAGAGAAGAGAAGAGAAGAGAAGAGAAGAGAAGAGAAGAGACGAGCCGCGAAGAGAAGAGAAGAGAAGAGAAGAGAAGAGGAAGAGGAAGAGAAGAGAAGAGAAGAGAAGAGGAAGAGAAGAGAAGAGAAGGAGAGAGAGAGAGAGAAGAGAAGAAGAGAAGAGAAGAGAAGAGAAGAGAAGAGAAGAGAAGAGAAGAGAAGAGAAGAGAAGAGAAGAGAAGAGAAGAGAAGAGAAGAGAAGAGAAGAGAAGAGAAGAGAAGAGAAGAGAAGAGAAGAGAAGAGAAGGAGATTTGTGTTTAAATTGATCATTAATTAAGCAACTACAATTGAATTCCGCTAAAATTGTTTGCGAGAATCCCCTATCTTCCATATTACAATTGAAATAGCAGTATATTATAATCTTAAATAAGTTTAATCTCACAAAGCTTAAATCAAATGTTTTCAAAGTGTTTTGTTAATTATATTTTCCATAATGCTATAATATATATATTTATTTTGTTTTACTTCTTCGTAATTCTTGTCCAGTTCATTAGGTTTTTTAATGTATTCCGGATAACCAATTTTAGCTTCCATCGCATCTACCTAAAGAGAGTATTTTTATAAATTGCAACAATAATTCAAGATTAATGTGCATATCATAAGTTTTGGGGTCGGGTCTGGCTTGAGCCATCTAATTTAAAAATAATTTTTTTTGCCCCGGCTCAGTTAAATAATTTTGAACAAGTTATGTGGGATATATCTGTTTTTATATGAAGGGATACGACTTAAATTTGCTTAAATTATGAATTCATGTCTATTAATCTGGATTAAGAAAATCGCACAATTTTAATAATCAACTTTTTAAAAGAAATATTAATATATATATATTAAATTTTATTTTCTTCATAATTTTATCGATTAATTTTTAAAATAAATTAAAAAATTTAAAACAAAGAAGTTTATTATATAATTGGCTGAAATTTATCTAAACTCAGGTCCAGACCCATAATATTTGCATTATTCTTATGACTGAGCTCTATTCTGATTTATATATAAAAAAAAAAATTTAAAACGTCTTTCCTTCATCGTACATTCGAAGTAAGTGTTGCTAAATTTGCCAGAATTTAAAACGATTCTTAGAAAACGGCAAACTCAATATTTTATCCAGAAAAATATTATGCAAACCTAAAGATTTTAGTCATAGATGGTATATACAAAAAGATATTAGACATCTATTAGCGATAACTCCAGGATTTCAAGCAATATATTTTGGGGCTAAAATAAAGATGAGTTTAGCCTTTAAAAATCGATTCAAATAGATCCGTTTAACAACACTATCAGAATTACTTAATCTAATAAAAAAATTTATTCAGGGGAATATTTATAAAAAAAAACTTTTTCCATAGATCTACTCTTCGTAGTTTCATCCATCCAATCAAGATTCTGAAAAGTTTCTTTATAAGCCACTTTCATCGAATCAATCATTCCTTTCACCTTGAAAGGATAAATATTAAATGTCCAACAACAAAAAAATTAATAAAATAATTTTATGAAAAGAGAGAGGGGGGGGGGGGGGGGGGGGAAGAAGAAGAAGAAGAAGAAGAAGAAGAGAGAAGAGAGAAGAAGAAGAAGAAGAAGATGATGATGATGATGATGATGATGATGATGATGATGATGATGATGATGATGATGATGATGATGATGATGATGATGAAGTAGATGAAGAGAGAAGAAGAAGAAGAAGAAAGAAAGAAAGAAAGAAAGAAAGAAAGAAAGAAAGAAAGAAAGAAAGAAAGAAAGAAAGAAAGAAAGAAAGAAAGAAAGAAAGAAAGAAAGAAAGAAAGAAAGAAAGAAAGAAAGAAAGAAAGAAAGAAATAAAGAAAGAAATAAAGAAATAAAGAAGAATAAAATATAAAAACTTATGAAATAATATGTATATGTTTATTTATCGCTATTGCCTTTATTTTATCTGAGGAATTAAAATTAGATTTCAGGTAGAGGGAACTTAGTGGGAATTCCATAAAAGTGGGAAATTTCTTTAAACATCTCTTCCAAGCTGGCATGTTTTCATAATTTTTTATATTATCCGCCTTTCGAACTGGGTCACGAGCATCCCTGAACTTTTTGGACAAATAGGATGTGAGGGGTTTTACAGTGTGCCACATTATATAATCGTGCAAAACTCTGAAAAGATATTAAAGTGAATGAGTAAGAGATAAAAAATAAGATATACATTTAGATATACATTTTATTTCATTTGTAATACCTAGATATCGTCAATTCATTTAAGCTACGGTTGATAATTCTATTCATCTTCTCCATGTAAGAGACGGATCTGACCCAAAATACTTGATCGGCTGGCATGGATATGTTATAATCTTCGAAAATTTGATTTATATGTCTCGTCCAATTCATCTTGCGAAAAAAAAGAAATTTTGAATTTAAATTTCCACTATAAATTTATCTTTTCTTTTCTGATCACTTAGTATTTCTCTTTTTTTTCAACCTTAAGGTCTCATATTTTAAAATTGGATGAAAAAAAAAATTAAACAACAATATTATATGGTTCTCCTTTGGGAACTCAAATATATTATATATTTTGGGTAACTCATTAAAAAAAAGAAGTAACTTTTTGGAAAATCTTTATGATTTTAAAAAAGAGTTATTCGTATTTTATATAATGAATATATGAAACTTAATATTGTAAAAATATATTCGAATTTGATAGGATTATTTTTAAAATAAGCCTGCAAAACAGTGGAATAGGGATTTGTAATAGAAAGAATTGATCAAAACAATGTACAATATTTCTTTAATCATTTTATATGTAATTTATTCTATAATTATATTCAAATAATATTTCAAAGTATACTTTTTAGTGTATTTAATTAAGTTAATAAAATAGTAGATTTCATTTTTTAAAAAAAAGGATGTAAAGCGATTTGGAGTTATATCTTTTTTTGAGTCACTATAAGTATAATAATTTTGAAAATTGTGTATTTTATATTTTTAAATATCTTTATTACATAACATAATGAGTGTGTTTTTTTCCCCATATATTTTAAAACATATTATAACAAATATTAAATAATCTTCTAGATTCCTAACTTACGAAATCATAATTTTTATCCAACTCTTTTAAGGACATTAGGATGTAATTGGACTCGTCAATAGTTTCCAAAACTAGCGTAGATGGAGTAATCTGTATATATTAATAAATATATTTATAATATATATAAAATAATTTTATGTAATTCTAAATTATGTTATTCGCTATAAATAAATTTTCATTTAAAAAATGATATATTTTGACTTAAATAAACTTCACACCTTTTTTTAATTTTATCACGCTAAACCGACTCCCTCTATCTCAACATTTTACTCAAAATTTCTAATTATATCTTACACAAAATCAATAGACACATTTCGAAATGAATTACATCTTTTTCAAATGGGAAATTATATATGACCAATTTTGTGGTGTCATTTGCATTATAACGAATTATAAATTGAGACTTGTGGGACTAAATTATGCCAAAAATATTTCAAAATTAGAAGCCTGGCCATGATTTTATAACAACTCGGATTGAATAAATATGCGTCAACTTTTATGTAACCATGAATTCATAAGTTTTGGCGCGAATTCATGGCGAAATTCGTAAAATATTCTCTATTTTTTTATTCCTTCACCGAGAATTGGCGCCAACCGCGAATTCAAGCTACGCAATTCCTAATCATTTAGCGCGAATATTCAGTAAAAATTAATAAATAAATATTATATATTTATTTTTAACGCTAGATAAGAGCCCTTCAAATTCTAGCACGTCCGACATTATGATTTTAAGTTGATTATTTATCTTGGTCTGACTATGTGGTTTGCCCAAAGTGTGACGAGTTCGATTAATATCCTTTGGCTTAGAGTATTTAGGCACCACAGTACTCGATACCAGCAAATTTCCAATGTTCATCATGTAATTTAAATTAGCATCGTAACGTTTAAGGTTCATAGTGCTATTGCCATAGTAATCATCATCATATTGGAGGGTGAGTTCCCCTGGATAGATACAGAGTATGTATTTGGAAGAGTTTTTGGGGTCTATACACGAATGTAAGTCAAAGAATATAAATCCGAAATTGCCGAGAAAGCCATTTGGGTATCTGACTATGCGGAAGGAGAATAGGGAGGGGGGGGGGGGGGGGGGGAATAAATAAATTCAATTTTAGTCAAATCATTCAGTTGAATAGAAATAGAAAGGAAAAATTTAAGAAAATAATATGAATAATTGATAAAGTGGGTAGGAAGATATATATTGTCCTGATATTTATATAAATTTATATTCAACTATATTTGATCGGAAATGTCTGTTAAAAATCGTGTTCTAATTATTTTTAGATTTTTTTTAAAATCCTTTGACCCCTACCAATATTTTTTAGAAAAATTTTAAGCTAATTTTAATAATTTTGGTTGTGTTTGGTAAAAAGTTTTTCAAAGGTAAACGTAATTATGAACAATATATAACTGTAATAAAAGACCGGGGTAAAATGATCAGTATTTCGCATTTCCACCCCTTCATATAGATAAAAAACAGAAGTAAATACAAAACAAATCAGAAATTGGAATTCAATTCCTACCTTTCACAAAAAAAAATTATATACCTATCTTAATTATGTAAAGAGTGTTTTCTCCGCTTAAGCTCCGGGGTAGAGTGGTTCACCCTAACACTGATCCAACCTTACTTCGAGAAAAGTATAACAATATTGGCATAGTTGCATATAAAGATATTTTTCCAAAATTAGCACATTTAAAATATTTACATTAAAGAGTTTTTTTTAAAAAATACGCTGGTTTTGGCAAAATATATATTAAAGCAAGATATTTTATATTTAAATGAACTAAAAAATTATACAAAAAATATAAATACCCACTGAACTTCGCCTTTATTTCCAAGAGTTTTAAAAAATAAGAAATAATTAGAGCTAAAATTGCATTTCCACTTTAACCGCTTTACCCCGGTTTCCTCTAAGATCAATCTGCCCCACCTATGTTTTGTTAAAAAATATTTCTTAGGCTCTAATAGGGTTCCCACCTAAAAAAACCTGGATCTTTTTTTTAAATAATTTTAGAAAAGTAAAACATTGGTAACAAAGTTGTAAAATCAAGAAAGGAAAATATATTCCAATATTATTTCTAGATATTCAATTTTTTTTTTAAATTTAATTTAATCAATTATATAAAATATAAAATTTAGGCAATAGTTTTGCCATGTTTAATTTTGTTCGATGAGTACATTTTGGATTAAATAAAAATGAAAATGTTTGAAAGATAAGCAAATTATGTTTTTTTGGAGTAGAATCTTGAAATAAAAATAACTAATCCTGAACTTCCAACAACTTTTATTCTCACTGTTTTTTCTATATAAATGTATCATTGAGAAAAAGGAAAAAACTACAAATTCAAAAAAAAAACTTTTCTTTAAGTTGGAAGATTCATCTATGAAAGGGGAAGGCTTGTTATCCGCGTTCAACACATCCCAACCTCCATATAGGTCTAATAGATCGGTTAACGGCTTTCCTCCCAATTTTTCTCTAATATTTCTCTTATCCATACAAGAATCATAATATGTTTTGGCCAGTCTCTCGGCCCTTCCTTCGTATTTTGTATGAGGATTTTCTTTATTTATTTATATGATTGTATAGATATATTTTCTTTCGTAAATTATAATACACCAGTTTATTAAAATATACATTTATCCTGTAACATATCTACTAGTGTTAATGTAACTAGTGAATATTTTATTAAAGGTTATACTTTTGCTGTGGTGTTTAAATTAAATATTAACAAGTAACTCCTATGCTGAACTGCTTTTTGGGGAAAATATAACTCAAACACTATTTATAAATAAGTTTTATAAATGTAACTTGTAACTTTTCAAAAATGTAACTGCCACTTCTTAAAACTAATTTCTTTCAAAATTACAACTTATACTTTAAAAAAATGTCACCAAGTAACTGAAATTAATTACTAATTCTAACACATGATAATTTTGACATTACTATTTCTCTACCCCCACCCATTGGTGTTCCCTCTGATGATGATTAATTACCTAATATATCTTTTATAGTTAAAAGTATCGATTCTGAAATTGCATTAAATGGATTCCATTTATTATGACCGCTTGGAATTGAAGTTTTCTGGATGTAACCTCCGCAGGCGAATTCGTAAAAATCTGTGCACGGATCCACACTTTGATTCATCCAGGAGGTTAATTGACTCATGTCAAAACTCTTCAGATCTTTTTAAAATTTTAAAAATACATATATAGCTAGTAACATTATCACTTGTCCTGTTTAAATCTAATTATCATATCATGATTAGAGGTAAGCAGTGGGCGAGTCAAACCAACGAGCCCGCCCACTCGGTTGATTTAAGATTTATTTTTTAAACTGCCCGTCATTACCATAGCTTTATTTTTTAAACCTCCCGTCATTACCATAGCTTTATTTTTTAAATGCCGCTCCGCCTATTTAGCTAAAAAATTTATCTAGCCCGCCCGCTCTCCCACTGTTTAAAAATTATTTTAATGGCTGGTTTTTATTCATAATTTATTTAATTTAATTGTATATTTTTTTAATTAAAGTTTAAAAAAAATGTGTAATATTTTGAAATAAAAAGATGATATTTCAATTAGCAGAAGTCTGTTATGACTCAGTTCGCCATTAAAATACTAAAATCGACCTGCCCATCGAAGACTCAGCCCTCCTGCCAGCCACCCAATGTTTAAAATATTTTGGATAGCCCGTCCGCGCCCAGAATTTGCGGGCTTGGGCCGTGGGCCAAAAACCCGCCATTTAGGAACCCCCAATTATGATACCCAATCTTAGTTTACTAAAATTTGCTAGGAATTTTGTAATCAGTACTAGCGAATTATTTCCTATTTATTAAGTATTATTCGTAAAATATTATAAATTAATCTTTAATATTTTAACATGTTCCTTTACCTGACGTTTTATTTTCTTTTACTTTTTTTTTTACACAAATATAAATCAATTTTTTTTCAAAATTTTTAATAATCCATCTTTCTTTTCAATTACAAAAAAAATTTTTTTTAAATAGAATTTAATTTTCGAATCGAATTATCTTCTAATTATCTGTACAAATACGAATAAGGTATTATTCGATCCGAAAATACGTATAATGCAAATATTCAATCCGAAAAAGACAGTGCAAATATTCGATTCATAAATACGAATAATGCAAATACTTGATCCGAAAATACCAATAATGCACATATTCGATTTGAAAATACGAATAATACAAATATTCGATTTGATTCGTATTTCTGTAGGCAAAAGCCTTTTCTCTAAGATTTTTAGAAAAAAAAATAGAATAGATGTTCCAAACCTAGCCTGTACCATCTGTGAGCACAATCTTCAGGCTTTCGTAATATATTTTTGGCTGAAATATTGGGTTAGCCGTTCTTTTCAAAAATGTTGAGCCATTTAACAACACTATTTGTAAGTATATATTTATATATATATACACTAGCTTATTTATTTATTTTCAAATTTTATATGTGTCTAATTTGCCAAAGCGATATATTTTTTTGTTTTGAAATTTAATATGACTTATAATAAGTCTATAATACTTTAAAAGAATTTATTAATATTTTGATCAGAGTTCATGGGGAAAGCTGGACCACGTGTCAAAAAAAAAATTTCATTTAAATTTAGCTTTTGTGAAACAGTGGCTAATTATATATCTGTTAATAATAATACATTTCCATATCGTAAAACCAGCCTAAATAACAACTAAAATATTATTTTATTTTTATTCATCAAATACAATATCAATTAAATTTTTGGGTATGGGCTTGGATCGGGATTGTGAATTCTTTTTTATATACTTATCATGGGCTCGGACCTGGCTTTGTAATTTTAAATATTTGGGTCAGGTGCTGGTCTAAAAAAACTTTTACTACGGGCCTTGACCAAATCTGACCAAAGAATTTAGGCCATGAAGATCTCTGATCTCGATATCTCTTAAAAGAGGAACAAAAATGACTAATGAAAGAAGAAAAAAAATTGTAATAAATAAGGATGGAATTAAAGTAAATATTAATCAAATATATTTGTTAGAAGTGATGAGGACAGAAATTCAGAATGGGGTCTGTCCCGCAATAAACGATTGTAAAACTTGTAAAAATCTAGAGAAAAATTATATAAAAAACTACGCCGCCACCCCCTCCCTTCCTTAACTTAATTGAAAAAATCTTCATTTTGTCCAATAATATTTTATTTTAACCCTAACCCGAAATTTCAGCTCTAAAAATATTTTAGGTTACACCTCAAATATTACCTATTACCAAAGCTGTTAAGTGCTACCTGTTTCCAGAGGAGCGCGCGCTCCAGGTGGAGCGCCAGGGACATTCGAGATCGGAGAAGGCACCTGCTTGTGAGACAACATGAGGAGCGGGAGCTAGCTCCTTTTAGAGCTGGAGTGGAGGAGCGCCTCTTCACCGCTCCTTTAAATTTAATGTATAAATTAAATTATTTTTTAAATATTAATAATATTTGTTAATTAAAATTCAATTTTTATTTTATTTAAATTTATTCATTATTAAATGTTTAGCCGAGTTTTATATTGGTCTTTTCATCTAATCATTTTGAATATTAAACATCAAGTTTTTCCATATTGAAAATTTTTTTGGAAAATAAGTCATATTAATATTCATTTCATAGATATATAATAAAAAATAGTTTTCGATATTATGGATTTAGATATCATAGATGAAGAAATCGAATTTCCGTTTCCATCATACAAAAAATATTTTAAACTTCTAAAAGATGTTGATCCAAATGATCAAACAAATTTAAGGGCAAAATGACTTTTGTTGTTTAAATAAAACTATTTAATTTTCAAAAGTGAGCAGCTTCAATGTCAATCTAAAAAAGCATCTAAAAGTAAAAATTCTTTTTTTTAAATACAAAATGATTTGTAAGATTTTTTTGGATTCCATGAAATTGATCATCAGGAAGATAATATATTGGGCAAACATTTTTTAAATAATTGGGATACCCAAGATTACTATTTTTGATAAATTTCCTGAATTAAAAAAATATCTTTATAAAATACAATACCCAGCTTTCCTCTATAGCTCCTGTGGAGCTCCCTATTTAGTTTTGCAAAAGAGAGGGGAGAGGCGTGGATGGTTGTTAGATTCTAATTTACAAAATTTATTACTTTTAAAAGTTAATAAAAGGTTATAAATATTTTGATAGATCTTTTAATATAATAAATTATGCTTTTTGATAAAAAAATATGATTTTGTTTCGTATTCTTTCTAAAAAAAAATGAAAGGAGCGGTTATGGAGCGGCACTCCATTACTTGGAGCGGGGGCTAGCTCCTTTTAAAAGTGTAGTAGCGGGAGGCTAGCTCCTTTTAAGAAGGTAGGAGCGGGAGCGGGAGCTAGCTACTTTTAAAAAGGAGCGTTAACAACTCTGCTTGTTACATAAAATTTATAAATTTTTAATGTAATATATTTTTATTTTATGATTTATCGATATTTTAAACTTTTATTTTAATTTATTTTAAAGTGTTTTTTAATTATGTTTTGACTATGCGACTCGTAGAAAGTTACTAAATTTATCGCCATTATGCGCCAAATGCTCAAAATACTAAAAATACTCGCAAAATTATCGGGATAATGGAATAATAAAAAGTAAAAGTAACTCAAAAGAAAATAGAGATACATTGAATGGGCGAACGTTTTAAAACCATAAAATTTATTTTTCTTTTCTTTTTTTTATTTTGTTAAAACATCAATATGATTTTTATTTAAAATTATGATATAACCTAGTCTTAAAAAGAAAGAAAGAAAGGGGGGGGGGGGGGGGGGGGGGGGGGGGGGAAAGAAAGAAAGAAAGAAAGAAAGAAAGAAAGAAAGAAAGAAAGAAAGAAAGAAAGAAAGAAAGAAAGAAAGAAAGAAAGAAAGAAAGAAAGAAAGAAAGAAAGAAAGAAAGAAAGAAAGAAAGAAAGAAAGAAAGAAAGAAAGAAAGAAAGAAAGAAAGAAAGAAAGAAAGAAAGAAAGAAAGAAAGAAAGAAAGAAAGAAAGAAAGAAAGAAAGAAAGAAAGAAAGAAAGAAAGAAAGAAAGAAAGAAAGAAAGAAAGAAAGAAAGAAAGAAAGAAAGAAAGAAAGAAAGAAATCCTTAGTAATCCTGTTATTTTTAGAAAAATTTTAATCTTTTAATATTCAGCACCCAGACCCTGCAGATGTAGAATTTTGTGCAGTTCTATGTATATTTTAAAAAAAAACTATGTTAATCATCTGTTCTACTGAAGTATCTAGCTCTCCCTATAATCATAAAATAGAAATGTGTGTTTTTTTAAAAATATTTATTCAATTCAAGGGAAAGACTTACTATCCTCCTGAGTTGATGCTTCTGGAATGATTGAAGCAAGTGACACGAATGCTGATATTAATATCGATAAAATTAATTGAAAATTTTGGCTAGGCATATCAAGTCTCTATTTAAAAGCTTAAAGAAATATTTGGTTAATTTATATAAGGAGCCTTTTTGTTTCTTTGGTTTATAATAAATGGTAGGGGGAGGGGGTAAAAAATATCTTCAAATGATTACAATTATTGAGCAAAAATAATAAAATTTTGAGCAATAAATTTAAAATTTTGAGCAATAAATTTAAAATTTTGACCAAAAATTATAAAATTTTGAGTAAAAATTTAAAATATTGTTAACCAACTAGATTAATCGTTTAAAAATTGATCGTCCTATTTTTATGATATTAATAACTTCTGCAGCCTTATATATATATAACAAATTTTAAATTCTGAGAAATATTTATTGAAATATTTATTGAAATAATTTATAGGAATATAGTGGAATTTTTCTCTGTCCCGTTAAAAATATTAATTGCCTTAAGAATATTTTTTTCCTGGAAATTTATCGTAGTCCTATAAAAAAAAAATTTTTTAATATTTTTAAAATTTTTAATATTTCCTTCTTAAAAAAATAATATTGTTCACATCACAACATTTAGTTTAATTTCTTAGTAAAAGTATCTAAAAATATTATTTTAACCCTTAAGGTAATTTTATTTTTATTATTCCATAAATTTCGCCTATAAAAATATTGCTACATAAAAAATATTTTTATTATTCTTGCTAAAAAAAAATATTGATTCATACTTTTAATCTAGTTTAGTTCTTAAGAAAATGATTTTTCTTAAAAAATTTTATTTGTCTTCCAGATTTTGTTAATTCCTCCATCTAATATTTCTTATAAAATATTGCTGAAATTAATTTCTAAATTTCTTATCGACTGAATTCCACTACCTAAAGTAAATAGCCGCAAGCGTTGCTAAACATTATACCAATTAATAATTTCTTTTTAAAAAATATTATTAAGAAAATGAATGCCTTGAGGATATTTTTATTCTTGCTAATTTAAAAAAATTATTATATAATTATACATTCCAATAAATAAAAATTATATTTGTTGTCATGATAAATCAATAAATAATAAAAAAAATATATATTTTATTTAATCATTTTTTATTATATTTTAATAATTTTAAAAAATATACTTTGATTAAATTTAAAAGAAAAATCGTCTCCTGGACACTATAAATCACGTGACACCAGTGACTTCTACCAGGGGGGGGGGGAGTGAAGGTGCTGGAAAAGTGCTTAGACAGTGTCCTGGTTTGGCTTGCTTTTTATTTGGTCTAGGATTAACAGCTTTTGATCTAGAACACCCTATTTTAGTTTGTTATAAGTGGTTGGTGGCACTGTATTTTCGTATTTTTTCTCCTTTTTGTTTTGTTTATTTCGTTTTTTCATTTTTTTTGTTTTTTTTTCATTTTCTCACTTTTTAGGGCTGTTTAATAGGCCGTTTCGTGATAAGTTAGACCAGGATGCACCCTTATAAATTGAGCAGCATTGTTTCGTTTTAGTGAAACTTTTATCAAGATGGATGATAAAAAAATGAAATTTACGTTCTAATATATCCTTCCTCGTGTGCGTAAGTAACCAGGTGTCTAATCATTTATTGATCTCGAAACTAAATTCCCATTATATGCTTATTTCAAAGTTGGGCCAGTTAATAATTTCCATTGATAATTCGATTTAAATGATTGAATTAAAATCGTTTCCTGGAGAAGGGAGTGGGAAAAAAATTTAAAATATTGATTTTCCAAGAGGAGGTTAAGATCTTGAAATTATATTTCTACTTTTGGAATTTGATTTGCTATAAATGGCTTATTTATCATAATATACAATTGAGAAATTTTTAAAACTTTCAAATTATAAGTAAGTAGAATTGCGTGAGAATTAACTCTCTTTATTTAAAAAGTATTATAAATAAATTGATCACAATATTGTATAAAACATACATTCAATATTATTGGTTCAGTAAGGATATCCAGGACCATAAATCCCAAATCCAGTATAGCCACCATATAAACCACATCCCGGGTCACCATAACTCTCAGAGCCTGGAAAGCCTCAACAATTGAGCATTCACTTTAGCAAAAATTAGTGAAAATATAATATCCTATAATTTATATGACACCTAAATTATTTCACTGAAATTATCCCAAACCATGTTTTACATAATTTTATTTTATTAAAGATTCGCCGATTTCTATTTAAAATATGTAACTAAATAAATTAAAATGGTTGCATATCAATTTTTCTTCTAAAAAAACTCACTGTAACTAATGATGCAGATACAAAATAAAACACCCGTCCAGCAATATTGTAGAATTTATCAATTTCAATAATACCACACAATTTTATATAACATACAACTTTTCGCTTTATTTGATATTTAAACTATTGATATCCATTTATATCTTTAAAAAATATGAGCAAAAATCATCAAAATAGCATTGATATTTATCCGTAATAAGGATATCCTCATATCCTCCATATCCTCCATATCCACCATATCCACCATATCCACCATATCCTCCATATCCACCATATCCACCATATCCACCATAAGGGAAACCTCCATACCCTCCGTATCCACCATACCCTCCATATCCACCATACCCATATTGAGCATCCACCTTAGCGCTTTGGAACACCATGACAGTCAGGACCTTTTTTTTAATTTATTTTATAATATATTTAGTAAAATTATCTATAGAATTTTGTTTGTATTCAATAGATAAATATAATAAATTTTGATAATCTAATTTTTAAAAATTGTTTAAATGCACTTACAACCGCGAGGAGTAAAAGTATTGATATGAAAGATTTCATTCTTATTTCGTGTGTGAGTTTAGAAAATAATTGACTAGATTTTTTTTTTAAAAAAGTTATAAAATTCCTAATAATAAAAAAAGTTAAATGCGATTTTTAAGAAAAAGAGAAACCTTTTTATAGAAATATTTTTTTAATTTTATTTTTAAAGAATTAGAATAAAAAGAATATCGATTTGAATATTACATGTGACAAAATTCCATGATAATAACTAAAATAAAAATATCATTCAAAAATTTTAAATAATCAAAAGGTTATGGTAATTTTTATTATGAAATATAAAATAATTTTTTTCCAAAAAATCATGAATTAGTCACATATAGATATATGCTATGGGACTAGAAACGTAGTTATTTTAAAAAAAATTAAAAGATTAAAATCTTTTGTGAATGGATGGAAAGGTTATTTTTCTTAAGAACTAATAAGAAATTTGAGGCTTTATCTCCATAATAAACAGCTGTGTCAGAGAGACAATGCATAAAAATAATGTTTAGAAATGTACAATTAATTTTCCCTATATTCACATTAAAATTTGAGCGTGTTTATGTTGAATGACTGGCAGGGCTGTAGCACGTGCGGAGGGGGGGGCACAAGGGTCAGCCCACCCCCACCCAAATAAAATTTTTTGGGTACTGACCCTAAAAATCCCAAAAATTTTTCCATCCCCCCTCCCTAAATTAAAATTTTTTTAAATATATTATTTTTATAATTTTAAAACATGTCTAGCTTGTAAATTTCTTTCTATCCTGTTCTATTTTTATCCAATAATATTTCTGTTTTATTTTTTATAACTGTGCAATTGAAGTTTTTTAAAATAAAAGTAATGATATAATCATTTATCTTAAATCAATATTTGATTTGATACTATTTCTTAGCATACAGGAGCTACCTTTTCGTGAGATTAGTTCAACAAAAATTACGGATGCTGCAAAAGATAAAAACATATTTAATTCTTCTGGACTATTTATAGCAATGTTTTATACACCATTCAAAAAGATCTTGGGTTAAATAAAATTAAACCCAAAAATGCCCAATATACATCATCCCAGACTTAAAAGGAAGTAATATTTAATCTATTATGGAAGATATGGTTCTTGAAATATCTTTTTATTGTCTTAAGGCTGATGAGGCAAAAAATGCATCATTGAGAAAACCCTGAGCATAATTATTATCTATATTTTTTTCTGGAGAAATTCAAGAAAATTTAATAGGAATTATTATTTTATACAGTGTCTTTCTACTGAAAACCATTATTGATTGCATTTTAAAGCAACTTGACTAGTTAAATATTAATTCAACGCATATATAAGCCATGTATATGATTGTGCAAATGTCATGTCTGATCGAAGTGGTGTAGTGCAAATCCTTAAAAAAAAATTTATAAACAAGTTCCTTTAATATGCTACAACTTGTGTACAAAATTGGTAAAATATTGTTATCATTTCTAATTTTTTTAATTTATCAAATGTATTGTATAATTTTTTAGACATTTTAAAGTATCCTGTAAATATACAGGTCATATTAAGAGACTTTTAGGCCAGAGTTAGACTGGTCATTTAGATACATATCGCATCATTTATGTTAATTTTGAGGCTATTGGTAAAATATTATCTTACTTTTCAAATAGAACTCTTTATTCAGAGGTTTTCACTCATGATTCAGTCAAAGCCTCTGGTCATTTATCTCATAGCGTTAATATAAATTACGTTATATTAGCCATTATAATTTATGAGATATAATAACATTAGATCGATCCACTTAATAATTATCTACAGTAAGTAGGTACTAATCTAGTGGACGCTAAAAATTGTATTAATTCTACTATCAATAAATTAAAAATATAAAAGAAGCGATAATTCTTTTGATTTGATGAGAATTAAGGCTGAAAATCTTTTAGAAAAATTTAATCTCACTCCCCACAAATCATCAAGGGTACGTAAAACGCCTATAAATTTTCAAGATTTTTTAGTCAAATTACAATTTGATTGTGAAAAAGACTGAGTTCTTTAAAAAGGAATTATTATGAAATTATTGATTACTTTTGTTGATCGTTTTTTAGATGTATTTAAACAAGATGACTATAATCTTCTATCATGTTAATACATTGCCCCCTATTATTTTATAACGGATAAAATGAGCCGATAGGAATCATTATTAAACTTAAATATGGAAACCTTACATCATGAAATGAAAATAGTTAAAGGATTATTAGCAGTAGAAGTTAAAGAAACACATAATTTTAAAAATATCCTAAATATTATGTATAAAAAAAATATCATGGTGCATTTAAAGATTTATATAAATGCTACTCAGCATCCATCATCATTAGGGTACAAACGGCTTCTTGTGTGGCCTCTTTCTATACAATAAAAAGAATTCTATAGAGCACTAGAGAGTCGATGAAAGATCAACGTAAGCAAAATTTAGTATTGATGGCTTATGAAAAAAAAAATAACACAAATTTTATTCTTTAATTCATTTATTTTAAAATTTAAAAATAAAAATCGTCGTATTATATTAGAGTATTACTTTGTATTCATATTGTATTAATAAATTTTTAATAAAAATAGCAAAAAATTTATATGAATGCTTAATTATTTGTTTTATTTAAAAAAAAATAGTGGCCCCCTAGTTGAAAATTCATGGCTACGGCCCTGGACCGGATTATATATGGGTGTAACCCTAAGCGATTGGAAAATAATATCTATATGCAATCAGAATTTCGCCATTGCATCGGACCTTCGTCATTTGTCCTTTTATCAAGAATAGGGCTAAAAGAAAAATTGACAAATTAAAGCGCTTCAGACTATGTCTGGGTTCGACTTGTTTTTTTTTATTCAACTTAAGATTAACAGCTTTCGAACTAAAATTGTGTTTTTTTGTTTTAAGTTTTTAGCGGCATTGTTATTTTTTTCACCTTTCGTTTTTTTGTTTTAATTTTTGTTTATTTCATTTTAATTTTTTGTTTGTCATTTTCTTACTTACACTTCATAATACAGGTCAGGATATACCCTTATAAATTGAACAGTATAAAAGGTTCGCTTGGGACTATACCTGCGTTGATCGTTTTGCCAGATCTTTTTCTGCCAACTCCATATCAAAAGCGGAGAATACAAAAACAAATAAATATTGCCACCTTAATAATATTTTATTCGCTCCGGTAGTCTCAGACACTGTGGATCATTCGGACCCTAAGCCTTAAAATTATTCAAAACTATGGTTACGATTAATTACAGGTGATCCGAAAGAAGGTTTCTACCTCCGCCAAAGGATTTCAATCGAAATCTGCCGTTCAAACTGTATATCCATTTATGGGTCATTAAGCCCCGTGGACCACACCTAATTAGATATCCCTCTTTTTTTTTAAATAATTTTTTAATTTTTTTTTTCTTAATTTCCCTTCTTTTAATTATATGTTTTTATATGGATTTTTTTGTTTTTAATATATATTTTTAATTCAATAGTGTATGTTTTAATTTTTTTACCGAATAAAGTTTTTATATAGTTAAATTAGTATTTTATTAATATGGATAAAAAAATTGAAATATTTAGTTCTAATATACATTCCTCGTGTATGTAAGTAACCAGGGTTCGTCTAATCATTTATTGATATTCAAACTAAATCCACTTACTTCAAATTTTGGGCAATTATTTCAATATAATAAGTTTAAATGAATTGTTTTTTATTTAACAGTCATGAAGTTATGGTGAATGGGTACTCTTGGCTTACTTTTTATTTGGTCTAGGATTAACAGCTTTGATTTAGGACACCCTATTTTAGTTTGTTATACGTGGTTGGTGGCATATTGTTATTTTTCGTATTTTATTTCTCCTTTTTGTTGTTTATTTCGTTTTTTTCATTTTATCACTTTTTAGGCTGTTTCGTAATAAGGAGCAGTATAATATGTTTCGTATTAGTGAAACTTTTATCTGGATGATAAAAGAAGAGAGAAGAAGAAGAAGAAGAGAAGAGAAGAGAAGAGAAGAAGAAGAGAAGAGAAGAGACGAAACTAAATTCCCATTATATGCTTATCAAAGTTGGGTCAGTTAAAAATTTCAATTGATAATTTGATTTAAATGAATTGAATATTGATTAAAATAATTTCCTGGAGGAGTGGGAAAAAAAATTTAAAATATTTTCTAAGAGGAGGTTAAGATCTTGAAATTAAATTTCTACATTTGGAATTTGATTTGTTATAAATGGCTTATTTATCATAATATACCAATAACCTCTTTTATTTAAAAAGTATGATAAATGTAAAATAAATTAATCACAATACATTCAATATTATTGGTTCAGTAAGGATATCCAGGACCATAAACCCCACATCCAGTATAGCCACCATATAAACCATATCCCGGCAATTGAGCATTCACTTTAGCAAAAATTTAGTGAAAAATATACTATAATTTATATGACACCTAAATTATTTGATCCCAAACCATGTTTTATAAAGATTCGCCGATTTATATTTAAAATATGTAATTAAATAAATTAAAATGTTCCCTCCACAATATTGTAGAATTTATCAATTTCAATAATACCACACAATTTTATATAACATACAACTTTTCGCTTTATTTGATATTAACTATTGATATCCATTTATATCTTTAAAAAATATGAGCAAGAATCATCTCAAAAGAGCATTGATATTTATCCGTAATATAGGATATCCACCATATCCTCCATATCCACCATATCCGCCATAGCCTCCATATCCACCATATCCTCCATAAGGGAAACCTCCATACCCTCCGTATCCACCATACCCTCCATATCCACCATACGCATATTGAGCATCCACCTTAGCGCTTTGGAACACCATGACAGTCAAGACCTTTTTTTTATTTATTTTTTAATATATTTAGTAAAATTATCTATCGAATTTTGTTATAAATAATGAATTTTGATAATCTAATTTTAAAAAAAATGTTTAAATGCACTTACAACCGCGAGGAGTAAAAATATTGATATGAAAGATTTCATTCTTATTTAGTGTGTGAGTTTAGAAAATAATTGACTAGATTTTTTTTTAAAAAGTTATAAATTTCCTAATAATAAAAAAAGCTAAATGCGATTTTTTAAGAAAAAGAGAAACCTTTTTATAGAAATATTTTTTTAATTTTATTTTTAAAAAATTAGAATATAAAGAATATCGATTTGAATATTACATGTGATAAAATTCCATGATAATAACTAAAATAAAAATATCATTCAAAAATTTTTTGAAAAATAATCATTTAAAAGGTTATGGTAATTTTTATTATGAAATATAAAATAATTTTTTCCCAAAATGATTTAAATCATGAATTAGTCCCACATAGATATATGCTATGGGACTAGAAAGGTAGTTATTTTAAAAAAAAAATTCAAAGATTAAAATCTTTTGTGAATGGATGGAAACGTTATTTTTCTTAAGAACCAATAAGAAACTTGAGGCTTTATCTCCATAATAAACAGCTGTGTCAGAGAGACAATGCATAAAAATATTGTTTAGAAATGTACAATTAATTTTCCCTATATTCACATTAAAATTTGAGCGTGTTTATGTTGAATGACTGGCAGGGCTGTAGCACGTGCGGAGGGGGCACAAGGGTCAGCCCACCCCCCACCCAAATAAAATTTTTTTGGTACTGACCCTAAAAAATCCCAAAAATTTTTCCATCCCACCCTCCCTAAATTAAAATTTTTTTTAATATATTATTTTTATAATTTTAAAACATGTCTAGTTTGTAAATTTCTTTCTATCCTGTTCTATTTTTATCCAATAATATTTCTGTTTTATTTTTTATAACTGTGCAATTGAAGTTTTTTAAAATAAAAGTAATGATATAATCATTTATCTTAAATCAATATTTGATTTGATACTATTTCTTAGCATACAGGAGCTACCTTTTCGTGGGATTAGTTCAACAAAAATTACGGATGCTGCAAAAGATAAAAACATATTTAATTCTTCTGGACTATTTATAGCAATGTTTTATACACCATTCAAAAAGATCTTGGGTTAAATAAAATTATACCCAAAAATGCCCAATATACATCATCCCAGACTTAAAAGGAAGTATTATCTAATCTATTATGGAAGATATGGTTCTTGAAATATCTTTTTTTTGTCTTAAGGCTGATGAGGCAAAAAATGCATCAGATTGAGAAAACCCTGAGCATAATTATTCTCTATATTTTTTTCTGGAGAAATTCAAGAAAATTTAATAGGAATTATTATTTTATACAGTGTCTTTCTACTGAAAACCATTATTGATTGCATTTTAAAGCAACTTGACTAGTTAAATATTAATTCAACGCATATATAAGCCATGTATATGATTGTGCAAATGTCATGTCTGATCGAAGTGGTGTAGTGCAAATCCTTAAAAAAAAATTTATAAACAAGTTCCTTTAATATGCTACAACTTGTGTACAAAATTGGTAAAATATTGTTATCATTTCTAATTTTTTTAATTTATCAAATGTATTGTATAATTTTTTAGACATTTTAAAGTATCCTGTAAATATACAGGTCATATTAAGAGACTTTTAGGCCAGAGTTAGACTGGTCATTTAGATACATATCGCATCATTTATGTTAATTTTGAGGCTATTGGTGAAATATTATCTTACTTTTTCAAATAGAACTCTTTATTCAGAGGTTTTCACTCATGATTCAGTCAAAGCCTCTGGTCTTTTATCTCACAGCATTAATATAAATTACGTTATATTAGCCATTATAATTTATGAGATATAATAACATTAGATCGATCCACTTAATAATTATCTACAGTAAGTAGGTACTAATCTAGTGGACGCTAAAAATTGTATTAATTCTACTAACAATAAATTAAAATATAAAAGAAGCGATAATTCTTTTGATTTGATGAGAATTAAGGCTGAAAATCTTTTAGAAAAATTTAATCTCACTCCCCACAAATCATCAAGGGTACGTAAAACGCCTATAAATTTTCAAGATTTTTTAGTCAAATTACAATTTGATTGTGAAAAAGACTGAGTTCTTTAAAAAGGAATTATTATGAAATTATTGATTACTTTTGTTGATCGTTTTTTAGATGTATTTAAACAAGATGACTATAATCTTCTATCATGTTAATACATTGCCCCCTATTATTTTATAACGGATAAAATGAGCCGATAGGAATCATTATTAAACTTAAATATGGAAACCTTACATCATGAAATGAAAATAGTTAAAGGATTATTAGCAGTAGAAGTTAAAGAAACACATAATTTTAAAAATATCCTAAATATTATGTATAAAAAAAATATCATGGTGCATTTAAAGATTTATATAAATGCTACTCAGCATCCATCATCATTAGGGTACAAACGGCTTCTTGTGTGGCCTCTTTCTATACAATAAAAAGAATTCTATAGAGCACTAGAGAGTCGATGAAAGATCAACGTAAGCAAAATTTAGTATTGATGGCTTATGAAAAAAAAAATAACACAAAATTTTATTCTTTAATTCATTTATTTTAAAATTTAAAAATAAAAATCGTCGTATTATATTAGAGTATTACTTTGTATTCATATTGCATTAATAAATTTTTAATAAAAATAGCAAAAAATTTATATGAATGCTTAATTATTTGTTTTATTTAAAAAAAAATAGTGGCCCCATAGTTGAAAATTCATGGCTACGGCCCTGGACCGGATTATATATGGGTGTAACCCTAAGCGATTGGAAAATAATATCTATATGCAATCAGAATTTCGCCATTGCATCGTCGTCATTTGTCCTTTTATCAAGAATAGGGCTAAAAGAAAAATTGACAAATTAAAGCGTTTCAGACTCTGTCTTGGTTCGACTTATTTTTTTTATTCAACTTAAGATTAACAGCTTTCGAACTAAGATTATTATTTTGGTTTGTTTTAAATTTTTAACGGCATTGTTATTTTTTTCACCTTTCGTTATTTTGTTTTAATTTTTGTTTATTTCATTTTAATTTTTTTGTTTGGCATCTTCTAACTTATACTTCATAATACAGGCCAGGATATACCCTTATAAATTGAACAGTATAAAAGGTTTTGTTATAGAAATTATTATTTTATTAATATGGATAATAAAAATTGAAAT